TCTCTCTCTTATTCTCTCTCTCTTATTCTCTCTCTCTCTCTTATTCTCTCTCTCTTATTCTCTCTCTCTCTCTTATTCTCTCTCTCTCTCTTATTCTCTCTCTCTCTCTCTCTCTCTCTTATTCTCTCTCTCTCTTATCTCTCTCTCTCTCTCTCTCTCTCTCTCTCTCTCTCTCTCTCTCTCTCTCTCTCTCTCTCTCTCTCTCTCTTATTCTGTCTCTCTCTCTCTTATTCTATCTCTCTCTCTCTCTCTCTCTTTCTTTCTCTCTCTCTCCCCCTCTCCCTCCCTCCCTCCTTCCCTCCCTTCCCTCCCTCCCTCCCTCCCTCCCTCCCTCCCACCTTCCCTCCCTCCCTCCCTACCCTTCTTCCCCTCCCTCCTCTCCCTCCCTTCCCTCCCTTCTCTCCCTTCTCTCCCTTCCCTCCCTTTTCCCTCATCTTCTCTTCTTGTCTCAACACTTTCCTCTCCTCTTTTCAATTTTTTTCCTGATTGTTAAATTTGATGTTTAGTTTAATTTAATTTCAGATCGATGATGATTTGACAGCTCGCATAAACATGGCAGATGCAAAGTTTTCATTCCAAGAAAGAGGCAAGATTTATTCGCCTCAGTGGTTCTCCCCAGAAGGTAAGAAAACGTCTTACGATGATTATTGAATAAGTCGTGGAAATTATTGCCAGTAATATTGCACTTCATCCTTGATGGGATCTCTATTAGTGAACTAAGTGCTGGGCATTATGGGAGCAACCTGCTTGAGAGAATAATTAGAAGTAAAGGAGACATACATTTACTATCTTTTCTTTTCTACACTTTTATTTCAGGGTGAGGAACAGTTTAGCTATTGTATTATAGGATATCAAGTATCATGAATGGGTTAATCTGCATAGTTGTATTAGATTCACGGTATGGCTTCTGATTTATGTACTCTCCCCAGATTTAAATTCATGTAGTAAATTCAGATGATTTAATTTGAGGCACATTATCATCCAGAATATCCAATATTCATCCATATCAGACCCATTTAACCCATTGCTGCTGGGGAAAATTAATAAAAAATGGGGAAAATGTTGTGCTCTTTTTTTTTTTTTTTTTTTTTTTTTTTTTTTTTTTTTTTTTGTGAAATGTCTCTACACAGATGGCTCTGCCTTACCTGATTTCACCCTTCCTTGAATTGGCGGGAAAATGTATTTTTTACTAGTGCTATTGATGGTGTTATTATTATTATAAACATTATATTTACTATAATGTTATAAACATTAGTAAAAGCAAAATAAGATAAAATATTTTTGAAAATAAAAGAAAAGGGTGAACAGGCGACACAGGCAGTACTCGTAATTGGCTCATTGGTGGCTTAGTATAAGTGTAGCCATCGATGTGTAAAAATAATCAAACAAGGAAACTCACAGTGGGCATGGCATGGCATACCCGTCAGCAATGGGTTAAGAACTGATGCAGTGTTCTAAAAAATTGCCTTTGTACATTGTTAGTTACATCACTTCTTAGTGTTATTCCTATTGTTTTTGTTGTAGCTGCGGTTGCTCTTGTTTTTGTTGTAGCTGCTGTTGTTCTTGTTATTATTTAAAATTTTTATATTACAGCTCTGCAGAAGAAACCAAAAGATCTGAATGTGAAGGCAGCAGATATGTGGAGCTTTGCAGTAACCCTTTGGGAGATGGCGACACGTGAGGTTCCATTTGCTGATCTTACGCCAATGGAAGCAGGAATGAAGGTATTATTATAATAATTTGTGATAATTGATTTAGAAGGAGAGGAAGGTTTAGATGTTATAGTGTTTTTGGTTGAAATGTGTTTTTATATTTTGGACAATTATTTGAGCAAATATCTGTACCCTCCCCCTTGCACTTCCCACCATGTGATAGATGAGATATTAGTACAAGCCAATCAAAGTACAGAGAGTCCCCTACTTAAGAACATTCTACTTATGAGCATTCCATACATACAAACAAAATTTTTTAAGTAGTAAAGTCCAAAAAATTGTTTGAAAGATGCTAGCAAACTTCAAATTTCCCGGGCGCAAATATAGTTCAAGAGTCTGGTACTGTATAAGGTATGTCGTAATTATTGGGATTTATTTACAGGTATTCTTAATGTAAACAAAACTTTAAAACAATGGGGAAAAAAGGTAATGGAGACCCGACTTTCGACATACAAACAAATCAACTTACAAACAGCTTCTCTGTCCCCATTATGTTCTTAAGTTGGGGACTTACTGTATCTCACCAGTGGCCAAGCATCTCTCGCAGAAATTTTATTACTTTTTAAACATTATATCACCTGCGTTCAGGGGTCAGAATGGATTTCTGCTTATTTTGAAGTTAATATTATTTACAGTTTGGCCATACGTATCAGTTATGGTTTATTACTAATCAGAATGATAGAAATATATGTGGTCTACTGTCAATAGCTGTTCTGATACTTTATCTTCCTTTAGAAGTCTTGCATAATGTTTTTTTTTTAACAAAGAGAAAAACTGAAGTTGATGCCTCAGTTAACCTCTTATATCTGGTTGCTTCATGGGAATCACATGGCCAAAAATCCTGGCATCAGGCTTGTGTGAGTGGCTACTCTGCCGTCTGTGCGATGACAAGACTCTGTGCCTCCTATTTGCTATATTATTTTCTCTTTTTATGCATAAGCTTTTTTAGCTTTTTTACCTTTTTCCTATGTCCATATTTGTAATTTAATTTGCATTATCCAGATGGTAATAGACTGTTTTCTTTGCACAGACTCTATAAAATTTCTAGGTAGTCAACAACATCTTTGCAAGAGAAATAAAAATATTCAACATCTTGTTAGGTGTGTAATTTTTTAGATTTGAGCATAATATTTAATTTTCAATAGTACAACCTGTGGCACCAGTCATGGCAGCCAGGAATACGATGATGAGTGTGGAAATGGTGTCCTCCGTACAGCTGGTGCTCTTCTAGTCATGGCTCACAGACATTACATTCCGCACTCATTTATCAGTGGGAATGATGCAAAATTGCCAAATGAGTGTAATAATCCCTTGAGGTTTGTGCACTCATGATGAATCTTTGCCGTCACCCCAGCCTTCAGTTGAAACACTCATGACAAGAGGTTCACGCTACCCGGCCCACAGCCAGATTTTCCCATGTCGGCATGTTCGCACCCCTTGAGTCAAAGTTTTTCCTGTATGGTCATGTCATTTGGATGATAATGGTTAACCCATTGCCGATGGGAATGTCACGTACGTCCATGCCATACCCTCTGTGAGTTTACTTGTTTAATTGTTTTTACACATAGACGGCTACACTTCTATTAAGTCACCAATGAGCCAATTACGAGTACTGCCTGTCTCGCTTGTTTACCCTTTTCTTTAATTTGCAAAAATATTTTACTATTACTAATGTTTATAACATTAAAGTAATTATAATGTTTAAAATAAAAATAACACCATTGCTATTCATATCACTAGTAAGAAATACATTTTCCCGCCAATTCAAGGAAAGGTGAAATCAGGTAAGGCTAAGCACTAGCCTTCTATGTGTAGAGACATTTCACAAAAAATATTAAAAATGAGCACAACATTTCCCCCATTTTTATTTATTTTCCCAGGCAGCAATGAGTTTAGCAGTGATTCCAATTTTTGGAAATTTATGTGTGTATATATATATATATATATATATATATATATATATATATATATATATATATATATATATATATATATATATATATATATATATTATATATATTATATATATATATTATATATATACATATATATATACATATATATATATATATATATATATATATATATATATATATATATATATATATATATATATATATAATATATATATATATATATATATATATATATATATATATATATATATATATATATATACATATATACATATATATATATACATATATATACATATATATACATATATATACATATATATATAATATGTGATCCTGAATTTTTTATAAAATGTCTTGACTCTTCTTGGATTTCCAGATTGCCACAGAGGGCCTTCGTGTCAGTGTTCCACCAGGCATATCTCCGCACATATCAAAGTTGGTTCGAATTTGCATGAATGAAGATCCTGGCAAACGACCATCCTTTGATATGATCTTGCCCATATTGGAGAAAATGTGCACACAGTAAATGCCCATAATTCTCTGAGAGGAAACTAAACCTGATGTCATTTTTGACATGCCTTGAAGATCACATTCTGGAGAAATGTCTTTGGGTATTATGTTTTCCTTATTCATTTGTTGAGGGGTGTAACAGATTTTCAGATTTTACAATTTGCTTGAAGAGGATGTTGTTTAACTGAGTATTAATACTTTTTTGGCCACTAATTTTGCATGGATATATGAATTCATTTCAGATTTCATAGTCATATAGCCTTTTTTCAATAATGTAGTCTTAAAAAAAAGTTTTAATAAATATATATTTTGTCACAAAGGATCACTTCTTACATAGTCCTTAATTAGTTGGATGAAAGCAAAAATAGAAAAGTTTAATTCTTTATAATTACAGATTTGCTTGCAACATTAGGTATAGACATGAAATCAGGTCATTCTCTTTCTCTCTCTCAAAAAAAAAAGTGCCACATTTCTATTTATAAGCTTTTTGAGAGTATCAAGAAAAATATTCCGCAAGTTTATTTCATAATAATGTTAGATACTTCCATTTCCCAACATAAAATTTATTAGGACTACTGACCTGTTGTTGTGCCAAGTAGGGTATGGTCTATTTTTGCGAAGTACATTTTGAGAATTTATGACAGTGCAATGTATGATAGGTATAGATAGATAGATTAGTATTTAGTTGACATGAATGTGCATTTATAGATGGTTCAATAGAAATGGACAAGATCACATGTAATCTAGTTTCCTTGAAGCATGAAAGGCTTTCTGTGAAAATATAGGAAGAATGATGTTACCACAAATTGACTCTACAAGTATATACATATTCAAGTATTATTATTTTGTATAGGAAGTG